CCCTACGTGCCCCCCTGTCCCCAACACATCCCCCTGTCCCCAACACGTCCCCCTGTCCCCAACACGTCCCCCCTGTCCCCAGCGTGTCCCCAGATCCCCGTGGTTGTCCCCCCCCCAGGTCCCCGCGGGCTCACGGATGACGTCGTCCCCGAAGTGGTGCTGCGCCACGTGCTCGAAGAGGGAGGTGAGGACGGGCAGGAGGGCCACCGTGGTGTAGTTGATGTTCTGGGCCACCCCCTTGACCTGCGTGCGGCTCTGCGTCACCTTCCCCAGCTTGAGGTTCTCCACCATCTTCTCGATGTCCTCGGAGGCGCTCTCGAAGAAGGACCGCAGTCCCGCCTTGACGATCTCGGGGCCCGACTTCATCACCGTCCTGTGGGGTGGCACCTCAGCGCCGGCACGGCCACCGCCCCGGGGACACGCGGGGGCAGTGGTGGGGACGTGGGGAACGGAGCGTGGCCACCACCCCGGGGACACATGTGGGCAACGTTGGGGCATGGCCGCCACCTTGGGGACATGGGGAATGGAGCATGGCCACCACCCTGGGGACATGTGTGGGCAACACTGGGGACATGGGGCAGAGCCACCACCCCGGGGACACGCGTGGGCACTGTTGGGGACATGGGCCATGGCCACCAAGCTGGGGCCACGGGGCATGGCCACCACCCTGGCAGCGGAGGGATGAAGGTGGCATCGGGGTGACATCATGTACTGGGGGATGGGGACAGCATCGGGGTGGTGTGGGGACAGGGATGGCATGGTGGTGGCACCAGGACACCGCAGGGGTGAGGGGACCACGGGGACAGGGATGGCATGGTGGTGGCACCGCAGGGGTGAGGGGACCACGGGGACAGGGATGGCATGGTGGTGGCACCGCAGGACCGCAGGGGTGAGGGGACCACGGGGACAGGGATGGCATGGTGGTGGCACCAGGACACCGCAGGGGTGAGGGGACCACGGGGACAGGGATGGCATGGTGGTGGCACCACGGGGTTGAGGGGACCACGGGGACAGGGATGGCATGGTGGTGGCACCAGGACACCGCAGGGGTGAGGGGACCACGGGGACAGGGATGGCATGGTGGTGGCACCAGGACACCGCAGGGGTGAGGGGACCACGGGGACAGGGATGGCATGGAGGGGGGGCAGGATGGCAGCGTGGGGGCACCGCAGGGGTGAGGGGACCACGGGGACAGGGATGGGATGGTGGTGGCACCAGGACACCTTGGGGTGAGAGGAGCATGGGGACAGGGACACCTTGGGGACAAGGACGGTGGCACTGGGACACCCTGGGGACAAGGACGGTGGCCCCGTGGGGACAAGGACATCACGGCGGTGGCACCGGTCCCACCTGGCGTCCAGGGAGCGGGCGAGGATGTGCAGACAGTTCACCACCGCCGGCGCGTCCGTCCCTTCAGGGGGGGAGGGGACACAAGGAG